TGTGAGCTCACAGCGCGCCGGGCGGAAGCAGCGGGGCGGGTGTTTCCGCGGCGGCGGCGGCAGCGATGGCGGGGAAGGCGGCGGCGGGCGAGCCCCTGGGGCGGACGGCGGAAGAGGTGGCCTGGGCAGAGACGCTGCGCGGGGCCTGCGAGCCTGAACACCACTGGCGGTACCGCCGGGAGTTCCTGCTGCGCAACGTTGGGGAGCTGCCGGCGGCGGGCAGCGCCCAGCTGCAGCGCCTGGTGTCCCTCTCCATGGTGTGGGCCAACCACGTCTTCCTGGGATGCCGGTGAGTTTAACGGGACGCGCCGGGGGACGGCGGGGACGGCGCGGCGCGACCGTCTGACGAGGCCCCTTCCCTCCTTTGCTCTTGTCGCCCCTCCAGGTACCCGCCGCAGGTCATGGAGAAGGCGCTGGAAATGGCCGAAGGCATCCAAGTGACCAACGCGCCTGTCCGCACCACGAGAGACGAACTGGTTGCCAAGGTGAAGAAAAGAGGCATATCAAGTAGCAATGGTTAGCAGATCATAGCTGTGACAATACATAGGAGTCTAGAGAATGCTTGTTTCTGAATGTTCTCGGTTTGCCTCGGGCTTAGAAAGTAGTCGAAATAGTTTACTTTTTAAACTTCCGTTCATAGTTTCCTCTCTCTGTGCTATTCTTTTTCTAATATAATGTCTAAAATGGACGTAATGCATACGTAGTCCTTTGGTAATATAGAGCTGCTGTTTTGAATTGCTACAACTGGTGCACTTTAATCTGATAACTTGTGTGTTGCGATATGGGCTGCTGTGCTACAGCTTAAATACGTTCTTGTTACTTTGCCTTTGTTACCAGTTAGATGTTGTTGCTGTGTAAGAAACTGAATTTCTTGAAGTAATTATCAGAGTAATGTTTTAAAGATGTTTTGTGATATTAATAGGCAAAATACACTTCCTTTATTTTTAAATCAGATAGCCCATTTAATGTATGTTGGCCAGTTCTGGTTTGGACTTCAAGAATAGAAATACATACTTGCCTATGGGTCCAAACCAGCATCTGAAATCTCTCATGAGTATTTTCCGTATTTTGTCCAAAAACCCCAAAAATCTGAAATAGTAGGTTAATAATTGAAATGACTGTTTGAGGTACATTGCTAATATATGCCCCTTAAATTCACAGAGAACATTGCTATAAGGTTTTTGATGATTTCTCTCTGCGTGGATATTTTATAGTGTAGAAATCAAAGAGGATCACGTATTTTACTTGTTTTGCAGAAGGGGTAGAAGAGCCCTGCAAGAGACAAGCTATTGAGAAAAGCAGAGATTCTAAAGATGCTGGAAAGGATGTGAAAACAACCAAGGCAGAAGGAGTGAAGGAATCAGAGAGCACCTTACCCAAAAAGCAGGAAAAAGGTACTAGCAAAGATCCAAAAACTTCCCAGTCAACTTGCAGTTCAGATCAAGAAATGGTCATAGTCTCAGACATAGAAACAGAAGGAAAACCTGCTAATGCTGAAAGTACTGCTGAGCAAAAGCCACCTTCTTCTGAAAAAGAGCCAGGAAAGAAGCCTTGCTCAAGCCCACCTAAGGAAAGCAAGTGTGAAAATGTGCCATCACCTGAAAAGAAAACTACAGTGAGTGCAGCACCACTGGCTGCCGAGAGCACCCCTCAGCCAGATGCAGTGGTGGCAGCACTGCCACCAGCTGCCAAGAGCACTCCACAGGCAGCAGTAGTGCCATCAGCCTCCAAGAGCACCCCACAGGCAGCAGCAGTGCCAGCAACTGCCAAGAGCACCCCACAGGCAGCAGCAGTGCCAGCAGCAGTGCCAGTGACCGCCAAGAGTACCCCACAGGCAGCAGCAGTGCCAGCAGCAGTGCCACCAGCTGCCAAGAGCACCCCACAGGCAACGTCAGCAGCAGCAGCCGTGCCACTGACCACCAAGAGCACCCCACAGGTACCGGCAGTGCCACCAACCACCAAGAGCACCCCTCAAACAAGTGCTGCATTGCTGTCTTCCAAAACCCAAGTGAATGCCCCAGCATCAGTGTCCAAGAGTGGTGCTCAGGTGAGCAGCTCACTGCTTCTGGCCCCCAAGAGTGGCACTCAGGTGGGCACCTCGCTGCTACTGGCCTCCAAGGGCCCGGCTAAGGTGGGCTCCCCACTCCTGGCCTCTAAGAGCAGTGCGGAGGTGGCCGCCTCATTGCTGGCCGCTCGGAGCGGTGCGCAGCCGGGATCCTCACTGCTCACTTCCAAGAGCAGTGCTCAGGTGGCGGCTTCGCTGCTGGCTGCTCGGAGCGGAGCTCAGCAAGGGCCCTCCCGGGGTGGAGCTCAGGCAGGTGCTTCCCTGCTGGCCTCCAAGAGTGGCTCGCAGGCAGGTGAAAGCCCCGCGAAGGCTTTGTGCAAACCACTAACTAGCGAAGATGCTAAAGAAAGACAACCTTTTTTCAACAGACTCTACAAAGCTGTAGCCTGGAAACTGGTTGCTGTTGGAGGCTTCAGTCCTAATGTGAATCATGCAGAACTTCTAAATTCATCTATTCAGTCTGTAAAAGCTACATTAGATGTTGCTTTTGTTCCTCTGAAGGAACTTGCAGACTTGCCTCAAAATAAAAGCTCACTAGAAAATATAGTTTGTGAACTGAGGTGCAAGTCTGTCTACTTGGGTACTGGCTGTGGTAAAAGTATGGAAAATGCCAAAGCAGTGGCTTCAAGAGAAGCTTTGAAATTATTCCTCAAGAAGAAAGTTATTGTGAAGATATGTAAAAGAAAATACAAAGGTAGTGAAATTGAAGATTTGGTGCTTCTGGATGAAGAGTCAAAACCTTCAAATTTGCCTCCAGCTTTAAGAAATCCTCGTGAGATCTTGTAGGGGAGAATCACTGTTTGTACTGTGTATAGTATTTCAACACAAGGACTGAAGGTTAATTTTGTACTTTGAAAATGTAGGCTTCCAGATATTTTGTATTTCTTTCTCAGTTTTGCAAGACAATGATAGCTCTTTCACTTGGTAGCAATTGTATAAAACTTGTTAGAGATAACAAGTGCACATTTAAAGGTATTGCCTTAATATACAGCACACTAGTGTGCTGTTGTATTTGCAAAATAGTCTACCTAACTCTTCTATTTTTAATTAAACTATTAAGGTACAATTTGCTGTTTAAAACCTGACGTTTTTGTAATTCTTACAATTTGATGGTAGTGTGCTCAATTGTCTACCATATCTTTTCTAGGCTCATAGAAGTGTGTACATAGGGACCATAATACTTGAATAATTGAAAGTTGTTTAAAAATTTCAGTCAAAAAGTTGAATCATCTGTTTCAGGCTTGTTGCTCATAATGTTCACTGTTGCTCATACTAGGAGAAAAAGTAGTTGGTTGACTATTTTTATGGGATGTTTTCATAACACTTGCAATATAAGCGACATCCTGATCCCATTTAACATTATACTATCAGGGTAGAGCCCATTTAATATCACATTGGAAAATTAGCAATTAGCAGTCAAGTCACAGCTATTTTGCCCACCAAAACTGTAAATTAAGATTTAATTTATATGGTGAAGTATAATTTACAGTTTCGTTTGGTATTTTTTTTCCCAAATGAACATGGATTTCTATACTAAGTATATTTTGACTGCTAGTAAAACAATAAAACCTCTGTGATAAGCTTTTATAGTATTTTGGTTTTGGCTACTAAATATTCCAGCCATTTCAATTACATTGCAACACTTTCAGTAAAGCTTTACTTTGAGTGGCTTCAAGGTGTAATCCCACAAGGATGAGTTGGTTTCCTTAGATGTGTAGCTGAAATACTGTAAAACTGATAGAGGAGATCTGTAGAATATCAATTTCTACTTTTGTAACACCAAGGTAAGCAAAATGAAAATGCTGTTGTCTGCTGGAGACAGTGAGTGTATTGTAAAGCATTCATTCTAATCAAGCCCTTCCTTTGCTACATTTTTGCTCCCTGTACAGAATAGTTTGAGGCAAAGAAAGTGGGAGATTACCTTTTATTTTCAATGTTGCTGAAGTACCTGCACAAACTGCATGTTTTGGTATATTGGATAATGACATGTAATTGTAAAAACATAATGTCTTCAGTGCTATTTTGAATTAATCTTGTCCTATTACCGTAGTTAGCATCATTTAGTGGTGTCCTTACACTTGACTGACAGATCCATTAATCAAGTACTAAAGGAATGAATAGGAATTTCTGGGATCTCAGTAGTACATAAGTCCACTTCCAGTTATTTTGTAATTTTGGGACTAAACCACAGTGGTGTTTATGCTGTACCCTACGAGCTTTTGAACAGCAGTGGCTGTCCAGTCCATAGCACGAGAAGCCTGCGAGGCGCTCACACTTCCCGATGGTTGCTTGAGAACTTCCTCCACCTGACCCCTGTGCTTCTGTGCCCTCGGTAGTCCTTCGCCCTAGTTAGATTTCTCAGGAGTTCCCCCTTGGCATTCCTGGAGCACCACCCGGCGTTCGGAATGCAGAGTGCTAAATTGCTAATTAGTGCAAGAATTGGTGTCTGCTTCTAGCGCAGGGCAAGCTTCATGCTGTGCTTAGGAGCCGTGGTATTCATGATGGGAAGTGTGAGATCTGTTTTCAAGTCCTTACCCTGTTCAGGTAGACGGACACACACAAGAACTGTGCTTGTGGGACAGGAGTTGTATCCCGTGCCCTCTGTAGTACAGCTTTCTTTGCTGTTAGTTTGGTCATCTCCAGATCTCTGTTTCAGAATTGCAGCACGTGTTGTAATGTGAAAACCTGTGTTTCTCGTCTGTAAAGCAAAGCTCTCAGTATTCACTGACCTCAAGGGGCTGTTAGGGCAATTGTGTTAAAAGGCTGAGGTGCTAGATGCCTTTTTTAAAAGACCTGACTTAGGATTACTTTCTAAAAAATTTTTAATGTTATTCCTCTTTGATGTTTGGTTGTGAATCATTAAAGAACAAGTCTGTAGCTACTCTTAATAGAAACTAAAACCTGAAGC